CTGACTCGCATCCCACACAAGGATCGAGTTGAATTTCACGTGGTTTGGCGGCTGGCCCGCGCTGTCGGGCCAAACACACACACACACACACACACACACACACACACACACACACACACACACACACACACACACACACACACACAAGAATTATACGACCTCCTCTAGCTTTAACGAAAACAGTGGCCACGATGCAAAGCGAAATGTGCCCTCTCCCCCTCCCCCTATCTGCCCTCTCTAGCAGAAAAGTGTATAACCAGTCATACGCTAAATAAATGAATGGATATCCTTTAACAGATGAACAAACAATGACATAAAGAATAAAACTCACTTAAAAATTAAAAATAAAATCTAATATACTAAAACGCACCGGTCCATGCACTTAGCATGGAATTTGTTTACTTTCACGGCCTAGATTGATCACCCTGGGTGTGCGACTTCCCGCATGTATAAATAAATTAAAGAGTAATTCACGTTCGGTGTTTCACGAAACTTCGTGGAGGCACGTCAGTATAGTAGTCGGATTTGGGTGTTTTCACCCTGACCAGTAAGTTTCTCAGGTTTTTTATTTCTTCGGTAAACTACCTTGGGCGGAGTCTGAAAAACGGTAGAGAGGCGACTACTCTGTTTAAGTATGTTGAAGTGGCGGCTCAGTATAGGATTCACCCGAGGGGCGGCGGCAAAGTATGTGAGCTATAAATTTGCCCCTGAAGTTGTATCTTTATTCCTGCCCTTTTTTCCCATTGTTAATTCTTGTTCCAAAGAGCGAGCGCGCTCAATTGCATTGTGAATCATTTTTTGGTGTACTTTTGACGCAAGAAGGCTGCTCTGATTTTTTGTGCGTGGGTGTCTAATTGTGCAATTTCAGAGCAAATTCTTCTGTATCTGTGGGCTTGAGAATAAGGAACACCTGTTTTGCAGTGATGGGGGTAGATGCTGTGGAAATTCAGATAGTGTTGGCGGTCAGTTGGTTTTTTATACAGGGAAGTAAATATGGTGGTGTCACTGAGTGATACAGTGACAACCAGGAAGTGAACACTCTTCTGCGAACACGTGTGCGTGAATGTTATCGAAGGATGCAGGGAGTTGAAATCGGAAATGCATTTGGAAAGATTATGCTCACCATCAGCCCACACAAAGAATATATCATCGAGGAAGCGTCGGTAGAATATCGGTTTCATTGGAGAACTTTCGAGGAAAGGAATCTCCAAAGAGGCCATGAAAATATTTGCGTAATGTGGGGTCATTTTGGTTCCCATGGCAGTTCCGTTCACTTGTAGATAATGTTTTTCGTTGAATTCAAGGTTATTATGTTTAAATACACTATTTAGGAGCACCTCTAAAGAGCTTTCATTGAACTCACTCGTCGATTTACTTTTCCCATGGGCGGTGATTGTGGCGGCGATTCCTGCGGTGTGGGGAATGTTTGTGTACAGTGATGAGAGATCCATGGTGACCAAATAGCATTCTAGAGGTTCTACAAGTTTGGAGAATTCTCGAAGGAAGTGGCTGGTATCTTCAATGTACGATGGGAATGATTGTGTGATGTGCTTATTGAGAGAGTCAATGAAACTTGCGATTTTTTTCATTAGCAGGGCCGTTGCTGGAAACTATAGGTCGGCCGGGATTGTTAATCTGGTGAATTTCGGGTAGTAAATAGAACCGCCCAAAAGACGAGTTGCCAGGTGACATCATTTTAAGATAGGATATGTTATCTTACCACTATTCCGTAATGATATTAGTGAGGCCTAATTGTACTTTCATATTCTTCTGTCGGATCACGAGGAAGTTCTTTATAGTTTTCATCTGCCAGTTGGCGAAGCCCTTCTTTGATGTAGTCAGCCCTGTCGAGTACAACCTTAGCACCGTCCTTATCAGCTGGTTTGATAATGATGCTCTGGCCGTCACTTAAACTGCGCAAAGCCTCCCGCTCCTCCTTGGACAGATTGTTGCGAATGGGTCGGTGCTTTTCATATTCCCTGATTATAACACCTTAGACGGCATTATTATATATATATATATATATATATATATATATATATATATATATATATATATATATATATATATATATATATATATATGAATGCTCTTGCCACTCTCAAATTTGTCGCGCTAACGCGCTATATACCTGAACTGGCGTAGCTCTGTGTTATGCGTGAAAGATGATTATCAGTGTAGATCAGCCGAAGTATCATAAGCAGGGACACAACAGCGTGAAGGGCTCCGTGTCACATTATGAACCATTTTGTCTGCCCCATTGTCACTAATCAGATATGCCGATCGAGGCAAAAAATAAAACGCATGGCTCAAGGCATGGCCGCCATGGCTCTTAAGTATATTTCCAGGTATGCACACCAGTTCTTAAAACTGCTTCAAAAACAGTCGCCGTGCAAGCGTCAATTAAGTTGAACGTCAACTGTAATTCCTGTGTTGCCTCTCCGCTTTTATATCGGTGTAATCAAATTGCATATGTATGCATACAGCGCCACAAGCACAAACACACCCGCGACATTAGCTCAATATATGAACAATGAAGCAGCGTACATACCATGCACGTCTTGGAAACTAAACATTGCTGTAGCGTCACTATCTATGATACGTGGGCCATGAGCTGTACTTACAGACGAGAGCACGCCTATCTGGAACCCAGGCACCTCGCTCCCAGAGACGCCGTAATTTGTTTGCAACTGCCAAGGCACACCTCGCTAGCATAGAATGCAGTGGCTCTGAAAGTTTAAAATGCGAAAAAGCGCCTGTTCACAGTGCGCACGCTTATAAAATGCCATCCGGGTACCCCTGCGCTGTCATCCGATGCGACAACAACCAGCGCAAGAGGAACAAATTGCTGAGCACTGCCTGTGAAGTTCACAGCGCATCGCGGGAATCGTGCCGTTGCGGTGTTTTGCGATTGCACAGATTTCCGTCCACAACAAAAAATGCCAAACTACACCACCTTCGGATATAATCGCAATCAGCAGAAAAAACTACGAGCCCTCTGAAGTGTACGAGTAAGAAAACCTAATGTGTTTATTCAAGCGTGACTCCAGCTGTTTCACTTGACAGCAGCGATTTGCGTGCAGTATGCCTGTAGTAAGAGGCACAAAACTATTGCCGTACTTTTTCGCAGGCCGCATGGCAATAATAGCATATACGTATTATATATACGACTCACGCGTGGATGCATGCACCGCGCATGGTTAGTACAACCGTGACGGCTTACTATCGCGATGCGTGAACGGCGCGCAAACCATGACTTTCGACTCGGTCCAACTGCAACATGCCTTGATTGTCACTAGGCGAATCTACACGTGCTTTCGGCCGGTGTTACCGTAGCATATTAATACCTTGTTCTGGTTGGCACTCTTGCAGCGCGTGTGTGTTCCGAGTGCCCAGCAGAACTGGCAATCGACACACATGCGGTGCATCACCGTAAGTTGGGACCAGAATCTAGCGCTACGTTGAAGCCTGCTTACAGCACAAATTCTGCCTTGTCACAGCCAAGGCACGCCGCGGTTCGACTGAGTCGCCGCAAAGCAACGCTTTCCGATGTTCGTGTTTCTTTCAATCGCAATAGTACGTACCTGATGAAGCTGCTTCCGTGGTCTGCAATGCACGTGCTGCAGACATTCCGGACTGTCCGGGAAGGTCTCCTAAACGTTTCACACGAAATCAGCATAAACTTACAGCGCAGGAACAGCGCAAAACATGCTTACAGCCAGATTCAAGTTGTGAAGTTTCGCGTTTGATTTCCAGAGCATGTGCTCGCCTGCAGTTGAGAGCGTGGCTTTGCCGCGCTTGCAACACACGGCGTCATGCGCTTTTCAATATGGCAGCAAGCACTGAGCTCACTGTGTTCTGGTGTAAATATTGCGCCTGCATATGCGGCTTCTCTCGTAAGCCGGGAGGATACATTCGACTACCTCATTCACAGAAACACCTGCTTGACTCCTTGTAAAGCTTTACTCAGAGATACGCTGCCACTAGAAGTCTGCTTTCCTTCCATGACGACAGAAACGTCATGGCTTCTTTCAGAACCTGTCTAAGAAGCTTGAGATGTGTGACTTCACAAGGGGCAAGAACAATTATAGAGGAATGCCATTGTTGAAGGTTCCATATTGACAGTGTCACTGAGTTCACGTGGTGACTATAACGTTACGCTTTTAAGTACGCTCTAAAATGTCACAACTTCATAAAACAATCAGAGGCTTGATTCCAGCCGCGACCACAGATGTACCTGAGAGCCCAATGCAAGAGCACTAGTGCACTCCAGCTTGCACAGGTATACCAATGACATGAGTTGCCCGAAAACTATCAAGAAGCCTGCGAAGGCATGCTTTGTTCTTCAATGGTGCGCACATATTTTGATATTCGCAAATAAATAAATAAATACATTGGACCATATGAATGATAGTAAATGCTGTTTTACGTCACAAAACCGCGAGAATATTATGAGAGACACTGTAGTGGAGGGCTCCGGAAATTTTGACCCCCTGGTGTACTTCAATGTGCACTGACATCGTACCGTGCATAGGCCTCTACCATTTCACCACGATTGAGCGCTGCGGCCGGGATTGACCCCGCCACATTTGGATCAAAAACGGAACACTGTAGCCGTTGTTCCAAAGAGGCGCACAACTGCTTGCGTGTCATCATCTTATGTGGGAAATAAAATATGAAGTGTCATTTTATGCGGCAAATAAGAAACCGAAACCATAAATATTCTAAATAATAAACTCGCTATCGGCAGTTAAGTTTACCGTCGCCGCTATGTAAAAGTTCGAATAGTTTCAGTTTGCGAACGCCTTACTTTTGGAAACTAAACTTTCTCTGAAATCCCATTGCTGCGTAAACAAAGCGTGATAGGTGTTCTACGAATGCGCGCAAACGCCACGGCATTTCCGCATGTGCCTTTTTACTGTCCAGAATATGCCCCGAAGATATGGTATTTAAGGTGCCGTAAAAAGGGACACATGTGCCTACATGGACCACAACGGCTGATCAATCTGCGGCTGATCAATTCGCTATGCCAAAAGTGCACGTGGGCTTCGTTGCCATCTTGATGACTGCTTTCCCATTATGTGGAACTGCGATAACTGGTAGGTGGAGATTTTTTTTACGAATTATCTTATGTACGGAGCTCGTGGTGCATGAAATCGTATTCTTGTTTACTTATTTTAATCTTTTACGTATACTGCCCCTGTAGTGTGGAGCTGTAGCATGAGGGGATAGGCTATACAGAACACAAACGCAAAAAAAATAAGATAGGTGAAGTACATGACAACAATGCCTAAGAAAGCGGCACTTTATTTAGGTATTACAGTTGCGGAATATACCTATTTTCAAAATGATTAATAGCGGCCCCGCCGCGGTGGTCTAGTGGCTAAGATCCTCGGCTGCTGACCCACTGGTCGCGGGTTCGAATCCCGGATGCGGCGGCTGCATTTCCGATTGAAGCGGAAATGTTGTAGGCCCGTGTACTCAGATTTGGGTGCACGTTAAAGAACCCCAGGTGGTCGAAATTTCCGGAGCCTTCCACTACGGCGTCTCTCATAATCATATGGTGGTTTTGGTACGTTAAACTCCACATATCAATCAATCAATCAAGTGAATAATAGCGGCATCAATGAACCAACGTGACATCAATGGTAGGGAAAGCCAAATGAAGGAATAGTTACATCAATAACAGCGACCGAATAATTCCGACAGAAAGTTCCAAAGGTTTAGTGTTTCTTAAAGAATAATTTCCATGTGTTAGCACGAGCAATAAAAGTTTTACATTGAAGTTTCATGAGCTGCAGTTGCAAGTTTCTTCTGTAAATGTGGTGTGGTTACCACCGAGTCCGCAGGGGAAGGGAATAAGAAGAATGTAATGATACAATGTTCAGTGATGCCACAATCCGTGTTGGTGAAAAGTTGAGGCAGTAATTAGGGGGGGAAGTGAAGCGGATGGCTTTAAATTCAAATTCTTTATTTCTGCCTTGTAGGGGTACAGACAGTGGAGGCGCAGAAAAAGCTGTCAGAGACAGCTTGACAAAGCCGCGACACCCTTTTGCTTAGCAGCAGCTTCACAGCAATGTTCATTAAACAACAGTATTAACATAGTGTAATGGCAAATACACAATAATCGACAAATACAAAAGAGACTCTAAAAGATATTATAAAATAGAAAAAAAAAAAAAAAACTAAGCTTACATATTAACGTACATGGCACGCAAAGTATTCTTTGACGAACTGAAGAGATCAAAACCACTATGTAAATATGAATTTAGAAGGGAAGGAAGAGTAAATTGCAGGCGTTGTCGACCTAAGTTTATTCTGGGTGTCGGCACAACCCAAGACTCTCCATGCCTTGTCATAAATGTCATTTTTCGTGCATGCAAATCGGCAAGGTATCGTAGATGGTTTATATTTTTTAGAGTTTCGAGTTGAAACCTGACACTCAAACGGAATTTGTACAAGTTCTCGATCTTTATTACATTACTTTGCAAAAAGAGATCTGCACTGGGCGAGTGCCAAGGTACATTATGAACATGACGAAGGAATCTCTTTTGCAGAATGTAGATACGCTGAAGACAGCCAGGAGTAGTCGTGCCCCAGACTAAGTGGCAATAGTTTAAATAAGAGTAAAAAAGGGAATTGTACAATAGTAGTTTTATTGGTTTCGGGAGAACGTATTTGAGCCTGCCTACGATCCCAGTTATTTGAGCCAGTTTCGTTGAAATGTGATCCACATGCTGTTCCCAAGACATAGAGGAGGAAAAAACCACTCCGAGGCACTTAAATTGTTCAACCACATCTATACATCGTGAGTTCAGTTTAATGCCGAAGGAAAAAGGAACTGGTTTATTTTTAGGGCGGAATACGACAGCTTGTGTTTTCTTCTCATTGATACGCATGCACTTGGATTCTGACCATTTTTGTAGCTCACTCATGGTATCATTGCAATCCCGAACAAGGATATCAAGATTATTTCCAGAAAAAAAGATGCTAGTATCATCAGCATAGATGATAAATTTAGCAGTGGTGTTGATATTGCAAATGTCGTTAAGATACATATTAAAAAGCAATGGTCCTAATATACTGCCCTGTGGAACGCCACAGGTAACAGACTTTAGTTCAGATTTTATGTTGTCAATGCAAACAGCCTGTTTTCTATGCGATAGATATGATTTCAGGAGCAACTGCGCCTGTCCACGAATACCATAACATTCTAAGTTTTGCAGGAGTATAGTGTGATTGACAAGATCAAACGCCTTCGAGAAATCTACGAAGATACCAATAACGAAGGCTTTCTTTTCAAACTGTGTTAATATATATTCCTTTTGTTCGAGTAGTGCTACTTCAGCAGATTTATTTTTACAAAACCCAAATTGATTTGGTGATAGTAGGCTATGTTTATTAATAAAATCATACAACCTAGTATATAACACTTTCTCAAAAACTTTCGAAAATATTGGAAGTATGGATACTGGTCTATAATTACCTAAATCATTGCGATCTCCTTTCTTATATAGAACCGTTACTTTAGCAACTTGCATTTGTTTAGGAAATGTACCGGTATCTAAACATAGGTTAAATATGTCTGCAAGAGTAGGCGCAATGACGGCGGCAACATGTTTCACAGGTCTCACTTGAATGCCATCTATGTCACAGCTATGACTGTTTTAAGGTTTTGTAACACTGCTATAACTTCTTCTGTTGTAACAGGGCTCAGGAATATTGTATCATTATTAAAAGAATTAATGTATTTATTAGAATCATCGGACGGACTGTTATGGGCGAGAGTTGTAAAAAGTTGTTGAAAACTTCCGCCAGTTCTACTCCAGATATATCTTTATCATTTAGCTTTAACATACGTAGGGAAGCCTGTGGTTGCTCCCGTCTAAGTAAGAGATTTAATCTTGACCACAGCAAATCATGGCGACCGTTTTTAACTTCAAGTAAAGTAGAGTAGTATTCCGCTCGTGCCTTACGCAATTTTTTTGTTAGCCTATTCCTGTATTTCTTAAATACCTTGAGGTCATCAGCTGAACGCGTATTTAAGAATACTTTGAACAGCTTATCTTTCGTTTTAATTTCTTCGCGTAATTCAATAGTTACCCAAGGTTTGCGCGTTTTGCGTTTTAATCCGCGCACTTTTAGTGGGAAGCAGGAATGATAAAGCTGCTTGAATACGTAGAGAAACTTATCGTAGGCCTCATTTGCATCATTTGAAAGGCCGGTGCCATCCCACTGAACTTGTGTTATTGAGTTGTAAAATAAACTCAGGGTTTGGTTTGTTATACGCTGATATGCAGCTTTTTCTTGCCAGTACTTTACCGCTGGAATCTTATTTATACTTAAGAACACCGGAAGGTGGTCGCTGATTGCGCATGTTATTACACCTGTTGCAGCTATTGGTTGAGATGAGTTCGTAATAAGCAGATCAAGAAGAGACGCACCCTCTGGTGTAACCCTTGTTGGAATTTTTATAAGGTTAACGAATCCGTTCGAAGCCAGAGTTGTGTTAAAATTCATAGCAAAATAATTATCCTTCAACAAATCAATATTAAAATCCCCACCAGCTATTAATGTGTATTTACTGTCCGTTATAAATGAAAGGAAATTATCGTAAAACTGGAAAAACTTGAGCGCATTTCCCTTAGGGGGACGATAGCACACCGAAAACACGAACTGACCAGTACAGACTGATATGATTTCAAAATCATCAGTAATCAGAGAGTACGAGTCCAGCTTATCGCATTCTATATTGTTAGACACCAGCAAAGCAACTCCACCTCCTCGCTGGCTGGAGCGGTTCAGAGAATAAGTTTTATAGTGAGTCATCGTAAAGGTGTCAGAATCATTGGTGCTCCAAGTTTCAGTGAGCATGACCAAAGAAAAAGTAAATGAAAATTCACCGAAAAATTCCTCCAAACACATGGTCTTGTTTTTTACAGAGCGTACATTTAAGTGAATGGCTTTAAACGATGTTGGCTTAGTAGTACATGAAGTAATTTTATTAAGATCACTCGGAAGAAAATAACTCATGTGCTCCATCGTGATTACATTTCAAAAGAAAACAAAGCATTCAACGTGAAGCACTATAGGTGCTCTAAGTCGCTCTTTCCCTTCACATGCACAGCATTCACTCCCTCGCTTTTCCGAACGAGAACTTTTCCGTTGAGATACCAAACAAACTTGTAGCCTTTATCTTTGGCGCATTCTTTCGTTGCTTGGAGCAGTTCTCTATTGCGGCGTGTCAGATTTTCTTGCATGAAAATTGGTGGGTGGCTATCCTTAAGGTTCTTTTTATTCCTGATCCACTGGTCCCTTATCGCTTGCTTTGTAAAGCGGACAATGATGCCTGGCACCTTGCCATGTTTTGCAGGAATTCGATGAACATTCGCAACATCCGATTCCATTAAGTGAGGCACTTGAAGTTTGTCAGCTACGTCATTTAATGTGACCATAAGATTCTCATTTGCTACTTCTCTAATACCATGCAGTTCCAAGTTTAGCTGCCTGCTTCTAAATTCAAGGTCATGCATCTCTTTTTCAAGTTGGGCACAGGTTACTTGATTTAGGTCATCTTTTTTTTCAAGCTCAGACACCTTTTTTTTATGTCTTTTAAATCGGCTTCTTGATGGCAGAACTTTTGCTCAAATTCATCGAACTTTGTAGATATGAAGGTAAGAGACTCTTCAATGCTTTCAACTTTTTTTGTCAGGGGCATCAGCCGTTCTAACTTCTGGTTAATTGACATGAGGGCAAGCTTAATTTCTGTTTCAGAATCATTACTGTCTTTACTGCACATGTTGCCACCACTAGCACTTCTACACGACGGACACTGCCATGATTTCTTTGCGGCCTCGTTCTTTGCCTTGAACGACTTTTCTGTTAGGCCAGCGCATTTTCCAAAGTGATAACCGTTCTCGCACTTACAACATTCCACAAAGGGCTCGTCAGGAGAGATGAGCAGATTACATGTGTTACAAGAAAGAGACATTGTTTCAAGTGTAGCTATGCAACCACAATACGGTGCCCAGCGGTACACAAGCAAAACCAATAGCAGCAGCAGCGACAGCAGCAGCAGTAGAAATACTATTGCAACTGA